AACTTTTACTCGGAAGTAGCACTGGATGATCGGTCAATGAATGTAGAATTTTTTTCTCATAGTGAAACGGCTAATATTACTATTATCATTATGATCGCGTTATGCTTTTTATTTCATCATATTCTTTTAGTTAAACTTCTGACTTTCTTCTCAGTTTGAATTTTATTTCTGCTTCTATTTTTCCTATATGTTATCCTGTTTAATCCTTAAACCATTTTACTTTGCTTCTTCTCATGTTTCTTCATTTTTGTTTCTCTCTTTCTATTCTAATTCCAATGTTATTACTCTCTTCATTTTGTCGTTTTTCTACGTTTGCTACACATATTTTTTCTCTGTATTTTTCTTTTTGTTATTTCTACTCTTTTCCTACATTTTCTTCCAGCAATTAAATGCTCCAAGGAAAACAAAAAGATAGGAACTTCTCATTCCTCCTTGACAGTAAAATTTCCCCGAGCATTTCACTATCAGAATTTGGGAGAAATTTTTAAATTAATTCATATTAAAAATAAAAAATACACACTAAACAAATTTAGGTGCGAATAGAAGAAAAATAGCTTTACTGAGCCATACATCTGCGACTAGTGAATGCCATTGTTCCTCAGATATTTTATTCGTTCTTTGGTTTTATTTTATTGGCAAGCATTATAAATGCCCAAAACAGGTTCCGTATATGTGGGTGTAAGCGGAAAACAAAGAATATTCATATTTAACTACATGTCTTAAATTCTCGTAGAAGTATATTCTACAATATTTTATTTTTACAGATAACAAAGAGGAATAATGCATCTCTCATGGGAGCAAAAGTTTGAATAATCTAATATATGGCAAAAGGTGTCACAATTAATTCGAGGAATTGCGCCGAGAAAGTAAACTTTTCTTATCTGTTCACTATTGGCAGATGTCACCTTTAAATACTCCCTTTCTGAAGATATGCACCTCGTGAAACTATGTTTTCCTTGCTGGAAACATTCCTCGAAATCCTTTTGCGGAATAACTAAAAATAATTGGTTCATGGGTTGCGTCAGGGATGTCAGCAAATTTTTTTCCGGTCATTTTGGAAATATCCAAACGTCACAGTGACCTAAATTATATTGGTAGTTTATATTTAATATATATTTTTTTTTTACCTTAGAACTCGCGAGCCGATAATACACCGCGCCAGTTAGAATTTCATGGTTTCCCTATTCGTAATTTAGTTGTTTTTTCATTAGTCGCACATTTATCAGGGAAGTACGGACTTGTGCCTCGTGTTTGTGTCTACTCGTGAAATCTTACACATCTTTATTGCCTTTGCTAGAAATGTCAGTGTCGTTCAAAGATTCCTTAATAACATTCTCAGCAGAAGCCATTTTTAGTGGGGCAAACTTTTTATTGACAATTTTACCAATCAAACCATATATTTTTAATGCGTATTTATTTATGTATTTCCGGTGTATTTACTTATATATTTCCTTTCTCATTGGTAGCAGAAACGGAGGTAAATCAATTTAATTTAGTAAACCATATCAGTACTCGCTTCTCTTAGTCGTTGTGAGCAAGTTTTAAGTAAAACAGAAACAACAATATCACTTCTATTTAGAATCAGAAAGAGACAGTTAAAATTTCTTGTATGGACAATGAGGAAAGAGAGCCTGGAGGCCTTACACACGAGACATGATATGAAAGGCAAGGAGAACAGAAGAATATAGGGAGTAACCTGCCTAACAAGCTTTTGTTAGTGAATGGCAGAACAGGGATAGGAAGAGATAACTTAAAGACAAAACTTACAATGACCTAGAAAGGGTGGGTTGTTGTGGAGAACCATGATCGCACTCGGCCTGAAGGGACTTCATATGAATGTTTCATCTGTGAATGTCTTGTAAGAGACTGTGAACATATGCTCCAGGTTTCAGGATATTATTTTATTTTGTGTTAATTAAATGCCTTAGTATTTCTGAAGTAGCTGTAACTACTATATATATATATATATATATATATATATATATATATATATATATATATATATATATATATATATATATATATGATATTTTGTGTGTTAGTATGTGTGAGTTTGTCGATCTAAATTCCATTGTTTTTTAATTTTTCAGTATATGTCTAGTAATGTATATGTATGTATCTAATTCCAGAAGACAGTTGTGAGATTGAGTTGGAAGTATATGTATGTGTGTGCATCAAATTTCTAGTTGGACGAACATCGAAGTATGAAAACCAATATAATCTCTGCGTCTGTTAACTAAGGACCGAAATGATGTTATGTTCAGTTTTTAATGAATTTTTATTGTTATTATTAGGATTATTTATTTACTATTAAGGAAAATTCGTGGGCATTGGATAATTTTTAGTTTATCACGTGACTGGGTAAATTGGCTTGTGTTGGATTAAATTTAATTATTATTATTTTTTTTTAACTAAAACGAGACAACAACATTAACTGATGCATGAAGACTTAATCCTTTAAAATGATATGGGGAGACGAGATATTTGAAAAAAAGGATAAAATTGACACAATACAAAACATTAAAATAATTTGATAAGATCTGATGAAAAGTGAGCGAACAGATAAAAGATAAACTAATTTAGACCTTCCTTCTAGTTAGACTAAAAGCATCTGCAAAAATATTTTAACAAGTGACTGAGCGGTGAAATAAAATAGAATGAATTGTAACAGGGTGATATTTTATATTTTGCTTTTTACATAACTGAGTAAAAATACAGAAACATGCATTAGTATGGTTGGAAAAAATATTGAAAGGTAGGAATTGTGCAGGTGATATACGCGAGCGCGTGTGTGGGGAGAAATTTCAGTTACTAAGGGGAAATGTATATATGGTCCAATAGTGTTGTCACTAAATTCTACCAAGACGGAAGAGAAATACGGTTTTTTTTATAGTTTCATGACAGCACATACTAACGACTTCTTGGCAAAACTGTCGTAGCGTTGTGGGGATAACCGACTATTCTATATACAAACCAGAGAAATTCTGATTTTCTTAGCGTAGATTAGATGTGGCACAAGGCCAAAAGTATGGAGCATCCAGTAAGGATCGAAATTCCTATTAAGCCGTAACCGATCTAGCTAGACAATTTGATATAACATAACGTCGAATTGCCCTTCAAGCCAGAGATATGATTCGAAATATGGAAAAGCAAACAAAATATTCTTAATAAGGAGATTATATTGGTCTTTCAAACAATATATGTGTGTATGCATTTTTTATACATATGTGTGTATGTGCGTGCATGCGTGTGCGCGGGCACACGTGTATATATCAGGTCATTCCATAAGTTCTATCCGGATTTTGAATAATAAAGGACGAGTGATCAAATCTTATATTTATTGAAATTTATTCATCAGTATAGTTTCTACGATTATCTTAGACTCCCTTTCATCTATTTACAAGCTTTTAAAACCCAGTAATAAAGAACTATTTTGATTTCTCAGAGAAGAACATTGAAATGTCAGTTTCGACCTTCTCATGACTTTTGAGAGGTAATCCATCTAAATGATTCCGTAAACTGCGGAACAAATGGCAGTCTGAAGAAGCAAGGTTGGGAGAATAAGGTGGATGAGGAATTCTTACCGAACCAATTTCTTCAATTTTCTGGGATGTGATTTTTTCAGTGGGGAGGGGTCGTGCATTGTTCTGATGAAACACCACTCCGTTTCGATTCACTAAAACAAGTCTTTTTTTTTTCAAAGCTGCGTTCGTGTTCAAACGCTCTACTTGCTGACAGGATAATTGATAAGTTGATTGCTGAATTAGTTGGTAGCAACTCAAAGTGAATTATTCCTTTGTAATCCCACCAAAGTAAGAAAAGTACATTTTGCGCATGAAGTTCCCTACTCGGTTTCATTTGGACCTTTTCCCATTTACCAAGCCACTATCCACGCCGTTTAACAAGTTGATAAAAAATTCATTTTTCGTCACCAGTCATAAGTCTATCCAAAAAGGGTTCACGAGAATGAAGAGAAGATCATATGTCAGTTCAGGATTTGCGGTGGACTTCAGACAATTTATGAGGCACCCATTTAGGAGCATTTCCAAGTTGTTGTTGTTGCTGTTGTTGTTGTTGATGATGATGATGATGATGATGATGATGATGATGAACAAAGCTTCATTGGCAATTCTTCAACTGATATTGCAGGATTTTCTTCAAGTGATGCAACAGGGAGCTCATCATCAAACCCAACTGGAAGGCCTGTTCTGTCTTTGGCACACCATCTTCTGCAAGCTCTTTTATTCAGGCATTCTTCTCCATGAGTTGAGTGAATATTACGAGTCGCTTCGACCTCAGAGTTTGTTTTTTTTTCCACTCATAAAGCAACATGTACCTTAAATGCCTTAAATATATACACAGACACAAACGCACACACACACACACACACACACAGATATATATATATATATATATATATATGTGTGTGTGTGTGTATGTGTGCGTGTGTTAAATTCATATTATCATTTTATATATGTACTATATCTATAATTTTGCACACACACATACACACACACACACACATATATATATATATATATATATATATATATATATATATATATATATATGCAATAACCTAAAACGTGAAGCAAGACTTTATTGTTTAGACTGTAATGACAAAGAATATATAGGAGATACATCGATGAATTTACAATAATCATTTATATATATATATATATATATATATATATATATATATATATATATATATATATATATATATATATATATATATATATATATATATATATATATATATATATATATATATATATGTGTGTGTGTGTGTCTGTGTGTCTGTCTGTGTGTGTGTCTGTGTCTGTGTGTGTGTGTATTTTCTGTGCATTGGAATAGCAAGACTAATGTTATAAAACAAAGATTCTTTGTGAATTATTTACTTTTATTTTTTCCGCGGCCTTTTTCGGTTTTAAAAACAACAGAGCAGAAACAATTCCCAGTTGATCATACGCACGCAACTCAAAAGCCGGATAAAAAAAATGCCAGCTGAAAAATTCTCCTCCTCTCTCTCTCTCTCTCTCTCTCTGTTTTCTTCCTTCTTTTCTTTATCTCTTTTTTTCATTCTTCCTGTCTTTCTTTCTTTCTCACTTCAACTACTATGATCACGTGCTTTCTTTTCATTGGTATAAACTTTCAAATAACAGCTGGTAAACTTTTATCTGCACACAATTCTTTCATGGCTGTCTTCCTTACATCTGCTATATCCAAAATGACCCGTAATAACGTTCAAGTTAATCATCGATATTAGATATCGTCTGTTAAAAACTGCAATATAATCACATTAGATAATTTTACCTTTGAAATATCGCTGTTTGCAAAATAAAAATCATTAAGGCAAACATGCTTGGCATGAAAAAAGACAATTGTGTCTTGAAATGTAACCATAACTCTCTTCAAGTATTCAATATCTACTTTCATAAAATAGATACTAACGTATTAATAATAATTTAATAAACTGCAGAACTTCACTTTCTATTGATATTGTCAAACAATCCCTCCCTTTCAAATTTTATGTGAATTATTTTCCCCCTGAAAACTTCATAGCCATATGCCTGTGACAAGCAACTATTAACTTAAAGACATTTAATGTTTCCGGTTCCGTTTTCATATTGTTAAATACGTCTATCGACTCTTTAAAAGCTAGATTTAGATGTAATTATATATTTCCTAAGAAAGGAAACAGTTAAGGAATAACAACATTGTATCCAACATAGAAAGAAACTTATGTTTAGTTTAACATTTCATATTTTGTCTTGTTCGTCTCCAATAATAGTTTCTTTTCTCATATCCTTTTAATCTGTTAAAATCGAATTTTTCAGTATATATATATATATGCGTGCGTGTGTGCGCGTGCGCGCGTGTGTGTGTGTGTGTGTGTGTGTGTGTGTGTGTGTGTGTGTGTGTGTGTGTATTTTAAAGAAAAACAGACCACTTTAAGGTTCCATTATAATAATTTATTTAACCAGGGCCCTTTTAAAGGACGCCGGATCATCAGATAGCAGTTCCAAAAGATGAAACGAATATATATATATATATATATATATATATATATATATATATATATATATATATATATTGAAAACAAAACGTTGTTAACTGATGAAATAATATAAAGTAAATGTTGATAGATGAAATGTGAGACTGAAATGGAAATCAGATAGCGAAATATGCCTTCCAAAAGCTAAGCAAATTATCAACACATATTGAAATTTTCTTAGAAACAAAGAAGAATTTAATGAACCGTTTATTAATCTCAGTCTCGTCTTCTATGGCGATGATAAATGCTGAACAATAAAGAATAGACTAAAGGCAACAGAAATTTTGCTCTACTGAAGGATTTGAGTAATGACGGAATTTTAAGGGAAAAGTTATTGATAAGCAAACCAATACGTAGAAACAGAAACAGTTTGAATTCCTAGTGTGCATAAGGGAGAAAAAGTGTTGGTGAATTTGACACTCACGGGACATAATGAAGGCAAGAGAGACGGAGGAAAGCAGTAAATAACCTACCTAACGAGGTAAATGGCTGGAGGAACAGTGCTTAGGAGGAAGAACTAATGCCAAAGATTACTCGGAGCTAGAAAAGGACAGCAAATTGGCGATATCAGTTATCGTCCACATCCTTGATTATCCACGGACTGAAGTCACACGGTACTTAAAATAATAAAAGTGTATGCTCTAGTTGCTTTTCTCTAAGTCTTATTTTTTTTTCAATATGCCAGACTTGAATCATTTAAGTAATAAATCTAACAAGGCTGAATGTAAATCAGCCAGATTAATCCATGTTGTCCAGATTTTTAAATGAAGGCTTAATCAGTTAATTTTAATAATTAATTCAGTAAATCATCAGTTAAACTTCAAGAAATTTCCCGCTTTTTCGTCTATATACCGCGACTCTTCAGGACGCTGGCGAACTTCTCTCTCTACACCTTCCCTCCTTTGTATAGTTCACCCTCTTACTATCACTCCAAATCCCTGTTCTGGCAGCGATTTAAAAAAAATAACTGGTTAGGTAGATGACGATGTTTTCTCTGTCCCTATTGCATTTAATATGTCTGAGAATGTCAAATTATCCAAGCTTCTTTCTTTAATTTGAGATTTCAACGGTTTTTGATACTATGTACAACTGTCTTTTTTATTCTCATATTCTTCAGAACTTACTTGTTACTCATAAGTTCTATGAATAGTATTTTATACATCTTTATTTAGAACTACATCTGTAACAACATGTTGCCTCTTCATCTATGAGGAAATTGCCCAACATTGCCAGTAATATAGGATTGTTATTAGCAGTCCAACACTCACTTTATTGCATTTAAGGAATTTTTCATCTTACTTAATATTTTAATTACATATTATAAAAGAATCTTTCGGCACTCCAGTACACCCTCGAATTTCTGTGTCATTTTCCCGTCTTCTCCGTTCGTTAATTGTCTGTCCTTCCCTCATTCTATTTTAATTCCTAACTCGAATCTTGGGATGTTAACGACCATACATTCTATCTTCATACACTTGATGCTTAGTCCTTTCATTTCGCTTACCTTTATTACCTTATCTTGGAATTCATGCAGTTTTTCTTCCGTATCTGCTATCAACACGGTATTATCTGATAATCAGGTTATGTTATCAGGTCTTCACATGTCGTGACCTAGCTAGCGAACATGGCGCTGAGTCATGGTGCATAAGATGATCGGCTGGCCCGTACTCCGGTGGAGATCCTTACTGGATACAAGATCGGACCAAGGCCACTCCCTCGATGGTCCTGAGGGATCGGCATGATTCGATCGAGGCGGGAGGAAAGGGTCTTGCTGAAAGGTCAGGTTTCACCGAGCTAGGGTGGCAGTGTTGTAAACTCGAAACCTGATGTGTCATGACACCTGAAGCTAGCCCAAATAAATAATTTAATATAATTATTTCATAAATTTCAACCAACAGTGGCACTGGCTCTTGGGTCAATGAATTCCAACTGTTTCCTTATAAGGAAACGGCGTATATTATTATGACCATGTACCCCCAAAATGATGGGTTATTCCAGTAGCATAATGCACTATGTAATCGGGAATCACTTGTTTTGTAATATATTTTGCAGACTTTCAACAAATAGTGTGGCCACCATGTTCCTCCGGTATGATATCAATTTAGCATTTATGGGATATGGGAGAGAAGTATATTTGCGTGCAATATCATATATAGGAATATTAGAGATCTCTAGTTAGCTATCCAACTAAATGCTTTAATATCACTCCAAGCTTCTTCTAAGCACTTGTGGAAGTAATAATACTTCAGGGTTAAGCGTTTTTATGGGCTACAATGAATAATATACTATACTTGGCAAATTGCTCTTAAATTTTTTTTATGTCTGTAAATTACATTGAGGTTTATACATTAAGAAATTCACTATGTTAGCTGAACGTGTATTTCTTTAAAATCTTACAGTAAAAATTTATCCCTTGTTTCCTGTTAAGCATTGGGTTTCCGGTTCCGGTTTTTCATTCTCTTTCAATTCCAGTCGACCCTTCCGTCTTGGTAGCGTTATAGACTTGCCTGATGTAAAATGCTTAAGATACACACACACGCACACACACACACAAATATATATATATATATATATATATATATATATATATATATTTTAAACATTTCACCCCAAGCAAGGCGGGAAGCCACTAGGACGCAAGGGGTTACACAAAATTTAGAGCAAGATCAGATAGGAGTGATAGAAGAAAGGATGATGGTAGTGGATAGATCAGATCAAGGCAACTGGAGATGTCGATTAACATTACACTTGAATAGCTGGAGATTAAAGCTCACAGGGAAACAGGAGAAGAGAAGGGAGTTCCACAGGCGAGAGGTGCGAGACATGAAGTTATTAGAGTAGAAGAGACGGCTACATTTAGGAGTTTCGACAGTGAAGGAGTGAGAGCGGGATGCCAGCTTCGTAGGGCGCTAGAATTCATGACGTCTGGGAACCAGCGAATGCAGCTCCTCGGAGCAATTTCCATTAAAGTATTTGTAGAACAGACAGAGGGAGGCGACAGCACGTCTGTGAGAAAGTGACTGTAGACGAGACGCCCGGGCAGGGCCAACCACATTGCATATCCGCCTCTGGAGCCTATGAAGAACCCCGAGGCAAACAGAAGGGGCACCAGACCATATATGGCAGCAATACTCCATGCAAGGGCGAATAGTGGATTTGTAGATCTGGAGGATCGACTCCGGGGAAAAAAAGCTTCCTAGCGCGGCTCAGGGAGCCAACTTTCCTTGCAGTGGACGAGGCAATTGACTCGATGTATTTATTCCATCTCAGGTCAGCAGTCAACGTGAGACCGAGGAGCCGCAGAGAGTTACTCTCGAGAAGTTGAGCGTCAGACATTCTAATGGAGGGCAGGGAAGGATCTCTGTGGTGATTAATAGAGAGCAGTTTTGCCTTAGAAGCGTTGAAGTTGACCAGCCAATTCATGCCCCAGTTCACAATCGATCGGAGGTCGTTTTCGAGACGCACGGCCAGGTGAGTTTTATCAGCGAAACTAGATTTGTTTTTGAGGCAGGAATAAATTGTGGTGTCATCCCCGTAGATGCCAACTTGGGAAGTTATGGCGTCAGGATGGTCATTTATGTAGATAAGGAATAGAGTGGGGCCTAGGATGGAGCCTTGAGGAACACCTGCGTTCGTGGGATAGGAACTGGAGAATCCGTTGAGAACGACCTTCAATTCACGGTTTGACAGGAATGATTGTATTAGGTTATATAATCGACCCGTAATGCCATAACCCTGGAGCTTGCGAAGAAGGCCGGCATGCCAAACCCTATCAAATGCTTTGGAGATGTCTAGTGTCATGGCTCGGGCTTCCCCGTTATTTTGGAGATCTCGGTAGACTGTTTCAGTGATGGCCGTAAGGAAATCGGCTGTAGATCGGGCAAAGCGGAAACCATATTGCTTGTCTGAGAGCAGATTATGGGATGTGAGGTGGTTAACCACCCCGGTATTGATTAGAGCTTCGAAGACTTTGCCGAAGAGGGGAAGGAGACTGATAGGACGGTAGTTGGAAGGGTCAGAGTGGTCGCCGGAGTTCTTGAAGACAGGAACGATCGAAGCGGACTTCCAGCTGTCAGGAAAACAAGATTCCTTGAGGCAGTAGTTGTATAGTTTCGAAAGGGCGGGCGCCAGTTCAGGCGCGCATTTCTTCAAGACAATGGCTGGTATCCCGTCTCCACCACCAGCTTTGTTGGGATCTAAATTAGAGATAACGCCCAGTACCAAAGATGGGGTTATGTTTAACCCACTCAATATGGCCTCAGTTCTAAGAGGGAAGTCGGGTATGGGTACACCAGAAGAGTCGTGCGTCGAGTTGAATGAAAATTTCCGAGCAAAGAATTCAGCCTTGTCGGTAGAGGAGGTCAGGACTTCGAACTGCTTGAATAAAGGAGGTATAGAGGGTTTGCAATTGTTCAATACGCTCTTGCAGAGACGCCAATAATCTTTGGAGCCAAATTTACGAGATGCAATACGTTCCTTCATTCGAGCCGCAAATAGTGACTTAGCATCGATGAGGACACGCTTACAATCGTTACGGGCGGAAGCAAAGAGACGTCTATTGCAGTCAGACATGTCGCTACGGTATAGATGGAAGTAGTGGTTCCTATGGGCGATGGCGGCTGAGCAAGCAGTCGAGAACCAGGGGGAGGAGCACGACTTGACCCTATATTTCCTTGATGGGATGAAAGCGTCGATTCCAGCTTTAACACAGGAAGAGACCTCAGAAGCACATTCTTGGACGGGGAGCTTAAAGACTCCATCCCAGGGGACATCGCCGAGGAAATCACGGAACGCGTCCCAGTCAGCTCGTTGATAGTAGAACGAAGTTGTAGTGGTAGGAGGTTCTTTATAAGGGGTGGAGTTAAAGGAGATGTTAACCGATACTACTGCATGATCAGAGTTACCAAAAGGGCAGAGTTGCGAGGCGCTGCAGAATTCGGGGATAGAGGTAAAGCACAGGTCGAGTAGAGAGGCTTTACCTTCCCGGTTGTAATGAAAAAGCTTAAACACTAATATTCCATGGTCATAATTTATTCCATTGGAATAGTAAATACGATCCAATTCATCCGACCTACAAATTCAAAAAGAAAACAGAAAAAACAACAGCGGAAATAAAAAATAAAATTTAGAGAGAGTGTAAGTATGAGAGTGTGGGACAAATGTTAGAGATAAAGAGAGGGGTAACAGACGAGAGAAGGTGGGAGATTAAACCTTAACAGAGAGAAGTTTTAGAGAGGGGGGTCAAAGACGGTTTAAGTGAGAGAAATATAAATGTTGTCGGATGTCCAATACATTAAAGATGTAACCGGAAAGGATACATTTTGTGGTGACATACACACACAATAGACGATCTAATCTTAAAGATCAGAAGAAGAGTGGGGAGAGAAAAAGAAAAAAAAGGGGTGGGGGAGAGAGATGGGGCGGGGGTAACTAAAACTGAAGGGTATTTACTGAAAGGATCGCTGTGTAATTTGACAAAATTAATATCGAATAGAGGTTACAAATCAAATATAAACATATAAAAAATAAATATAACGATCATCTAATCTAGCAAAGACCTATATTTCTATGTTCAAAAACACCTGCGTATACACACATACACAATAACATATACACGTACATACATACATATAGGCGTGTACACACACATATACCCATGTACACATATACATATATATATATATATATATATATTCATATACATATACGTATAAATATATATATACACATACATACACATACACATACATATATGTATACATGTACATACATAAATACACACACACGTCCTATGTAATTGAACGTTTTGAATGTTTCGTTGTTCAATTGCATATTTCATTGAGTTCTTGTGGACTTATCTGTTCCTATTTAATATTTTAACCTATATTTATTTTATTATTCTTTCTTTTTTTCTTTTCATATTTTCTTTCTTTTTCTTCCCTCCCTCTTTCCTTTCTTTCTTTCTTTCTTTCTTTCTTTCTTTCTTTCTTTCTTTCTTTCTTTCTTTCTTTGCTTATTCCTTTCTTAACTTCCAGGTTAATTTCTATATCGTTTCTTGTATTTTTCGTAATTCCTTTCCGCATTCCTTTTGGTTTCGGGCATTTCCGAATCTTCGATCTTCTAATGTGATTCTTATCGCTATGTCGTCTGCATTTGTCTATTCTATTCTCCCATTCAAAGCCAATTTTCTGCTTCAATTTCCCGCCATTATCCTATTGGAGCAAATGCGTTTGAGTTGGAAGACCACTGCCATACGTTTATCGTAATGTATTTCAAACAAATTTTATTTTCTTCAGTAGTCTTCTTTTTCTCCTCCTTGTTTGCAACCCGCGACTTAAGAGCACAGAGTATTATTCTCTTTTCCCCTTTTTATTTATTCTACTATTCTGCTCAACCGTTATCCAAGAAGTAATCCTTCTCCTACTATTCTTGTCTTCACAGGTGTTACAAGGGAAGAATGAATTTCAATAGCGACAATGTGTATTTCTAAATTAAAACTTCTTTCGAAAACAGCGGAAACTAGATCAGGAGACTGGAAATAAGTCAGCAAGAAAAAAAAGTCTTTATACATGACCGCATATTACGAATAATCTTCTTTATATCTGTCCCACTCTATCTCTTGATCACACTCACTCTCTCTCACACACACACACACACACACACACACACATACATATATATATATATACCAATAGTGCGATTGTTAAATTGTCGCAGTTTTATATTTTTTTATTTTGCATATGTGTGTTCTTTTGTTTCGTATTTTGTCGACTGCACAATATAATCGGGTCAGTTGGGCACCGTCTGTCAGAAAAGTAGCACCATGACCCAGTTCACTCCGCCAGAGATTTGGAAACAACATATTGTTCTGTTTAGCATTCACGACAAAATCTCCAACACGAACATTTCCGAGTGTTTAGGTGTCAATCAAAAAAGAACAGTGCACAGGATTCGGAAAGAGATGAATGATATATCCAGTCAACATCATGGTGTTTGGAATGATTACTAGTGATGGCGACGTTATACATCTATTCATCTTCCCACAGCGCCTCGGTCTCAACACGGAGGCCTACCACATGTGCCTTGAGATGGTAGTAATTCTCTGGGTCAAGAGGGTGACTGCTGGAAGAACCGATGTCTAAAAACAGGACTATGCACCATGCCGCACAAGTAAGCGAACATAATCATGGATATCAGACAATTTCTGCAAACACATCACCCTTTACATTAGGTCACCAGCCTACAACTACCTTGATTGTGGCGAACGACCGACCGACAAAACTCCTTGTAACACCAAAGAAAACCTGAAGGCAAGAATTGTGATAACGTTAACCAACTTAAAGAAGGAGACTGTACCGAAAAGTTTTCAGGAGTTTCCGATGTCGTCTGGAAACCGAGTTTGAAGACAATGGCGATTTTACGGAATAAATTTACTCTTTAGTATTTCAAGATATTTTTGTATAATTTTGGTAAATATATCTGTTAATATGAGATGTCCTTCTTATTTTCATTTTGTGTAACTTAGAAGACAATTTAAACATCGCTCTCCATTTTTTTATATATTTATGATCGTTTCTTCGTTTAACAAGCTGCTAAATCAAATACAAGGAAATTTGAAGTGATTTATTATGGAGGTTCAAGGATATAAAAACATTGGCTAACTATATATTGCCTTGAGCCATGTTGAGCGTGATGCCATTTGGATAAATTTACTTTTTGGGATTGATTCGTTTTCTAAGGCTTATCTACCTTTTAGAGGTAATTTAATGCCAGAAAATATTTTTTAGATTGGAAGAATCGTTTTAAGATGATAATGGTTTAGGGATAGACATCTTACTAATTAACACATACCTGAGGGAGAAACGTGGATTCATACCTTTCCCAAAGGTATTTGCGCGTGAGTGAATATAACGAACACAACTGGAATTTCAATTCAACATTCCGATTAACATCTCAACTGCTCGAGAGCACATCTCTACGGCTGCTCGGTCCCACGCTGACTGCTGACCTGAGATGGAACAAATACATTCAGTCAATTGCTTCGTCCACAGCAAGGAAAGTTGGCTCCCTGTGCTGCGCCAGGAAATTTTTCTCCCCGGAATCGATCCTCCAGATCTACAAATCAACAATTCGCCCTTGCATGGAGTATTGCTGCCATATATGGTCTGCAGCCCCTTCTGTTTGCCTCGGGGTTCTTGATAAGCTCCAGAGGCGGATATTCAATATAATTGGCCCTGATCTGGCATCTCGTCTACAGAAACTTTCTCACAGATGCGCCGTCGCCTCTCTCTGTTTGTTTTACAAATACTTTCATGGCAATTGCTCCGAGGAGCTGCATTCGCTGGTTCCCAGATTTCATGAGTTCAAGCGCCCGACGAGGCTGGCATCCCGCTCTCACTCCTTCTGTCGAAAATCCTAAATGTAGCCGTCTCTTCTACTCCAGTAGCTTCATGTCTCGCACCTCACGCCTGTGGAACTCCCTTCCCTATTCTAGTTTCCCTGAGAGCTATAATCTGCAGCTATTCAAATGTAATGTCAATCGACATCTCCAGTTGCCTTGATCTATCCACTACACTTCTCCTCATCCTTTCTTCTATCAATCCTATCTGATCTTGTTCTAAATTTTGTGTAACCCCTTGCGTCCTAGTGGCTTCCCGCCTTGCTTGGGGTGAAACGCTTAAAAAAAAATTCCTGAGTCGTTATCTAATACACCAGCCTCACATCACCTGGTATTCCCAAGAGGTCACCCATATAGGTAATAACCAGACTCTACGTTGTTTAACTTCGATGGTCACCGGGGTTTCAATGACCAGAGTGTCTTATAGTCCCATATATCACTGAAGGTAAAGAACACTGAATTGACTTTTTTTTTCTTTTTCTTTTTTTTTTTTTTTTTTTTGATTGCATCAAAATAAAGACTGCTGCTCGGAGAATTAGAAAGACGTTCGTTCTGTTTTGACCCCACTTTTTAACCTGTGATTAGTTGTCATAATTTATTACTGTTAGCTATATATGAATTGCTACTGTTAGCTATATATGTATTGCTACTGTTAGCTATATATGAATTAACCGGAAGTGGACAATTGATTTATGCGGTCCCCGTGTGTTCATCCCGAATTCAATTTCAATAGAGACACGGAAGTAAAGGAACGAATCGTGGAAAATTTGATAATGAAATAGGATTGATTTCCCAATACTGCGTGCTGGATAGAAAAAGTAAAGTCTTGCGTCTGCTCACCGTATAGCGGTTTGCGTTATCATCACCGAAAACGGTGATAATTACTTCTTGTCTCGCAGACACACAAAAATGAAGCTATGGGTGATAATTCATTTCCGTCTAAAAGAATCAAATCACGTTTGCGTAATGCCTACAATTGCCAGGTGTGGCTGAAGCGCCATGTTAAACTATATATCAAGCCTTAAAAATTTGATATGGCAAGGTCAATATTTCCCATGATATCTCTTAAATAGATAAGAACTTTAACAATGTCATTTTTCAAATACTATATTCCCCTAATATATAACATCAAAATAGACTTATAAATCTCGACACTCTTTGGAAAGATTCCTCTGATACTGTTAAATGGTTCAATAACATTAGTGATAAAAAGAAAGCCACCTTCATTAAGTTCGATATTGCTGATTTCTATTCGTCCATTTCTAGATGTCTATTGACTCGATTGACTTTGCGAAGAACTACATGGATAATAATAACAAAGGTCTATAGGAGAAGGCACTCCAGAAAGTGGCTTTAAGAATAAACTTTCATAATTAAACACCATAGGTACCACTAATGCAGATAAGAGTAGTAATAATCGCAGAAATAGAAAAAGAAAATATAATATAGTTCAACCCCCAATACTGTAGGTTATCAAAAATTAAGATTGTTCAGGAGTTCTTAAAACTAATAAATAAACATCTCGAAAATAACCACATCCTAAGGAAATTCTTCAATAGAAAAACAGTCAAAATGAGTTATTCCTGCAAAAATAATATATTGAAAATTATCAATTCCCTTAATAAAACTATTCTTAATAAATTTTATGACCGCAACAATTACCTAGTATGGGTACCCCTGTAACTGTAGAAACTGAGATTGCCCACTAGATAGGAAATGTAGGACATCTAACGTCATTTACCAGGCAACAGTCAACCCCAAAGAGAACAAGGGCATCAAATTTGTTCATATTTGTATTTCCGCGGGAGAATGGAAACAGCGTCTATAACCACATGGGCACTCGTTTTCCAACCCCAAATTGAAGTTCCAAACTACATTTTCGAAGACATTTGGGGAATTGAGGAAGAAAAAAAAACCTGAGATTGGCTGGAAAATAATAGGGTTTGCCCGAACTCTTAATAGCTTTAAACGTAAATGCAATCTATGCCTACAGGAGAAAATTAGAATCATCAAATTTGAAGATCAAAAGATACTCTTAAGCCAAATGAACTAATTAATTTCTAAGTGCCATCACAGCAGTAGATTTAAGCTTACCTAGACTCCCATCAAATCAGCATCAACTATCATAGGAGGACATTCACCTGGGATTGAACTCAATTGAACTATTATCACTTAACAAGAAAATGAACTGATCAATTAACTGTCACACTGAACATCTAACTTCTCCTCCCCTCTTTTTATGTCCTTACCAATTTCTCATCTTGTTCCGTCCGTATACATATCCATCCTCCATCACTAAGTCATTAATATTTCTTGATGACTATGAATAATATCCTCACGAAATATTCACCTTCTCTTTACTTCTATTGCCCTAAAATTGTTTATAGACCGTTTCTATTTCTTTTCTCATCTTTGAGTTTATCTTTTGAATTAGCCTTGATATCCTTTCCTCATCTTTGAGTTTATCTATTGAATTAGCCTTGATATCCTTTTCTCATCTTTGAGTTTATCTATTGAATTAGCCTTGATATCCTTTTCTCATCTTTGCGTTTTTTCTATTGAATTAGCCTTGATATCCTTTTCTCATCTTTGAGTTTATCTATTGAATTAGCCTTGATATCCTTTTCTCATCTTTGA